TCATCTGGCAACTTTACTTAACTATCAAATCTAGTTCATTTTTGTATCTCTTGACAATGGGCTTGGTTGCCTGAAAGTATTAGAGAAATTGTTACTTAATACAAGTGAACTCCAATAAAACAGATTTCTACTATGAGATTTTAATTCATTGTGATTAATTTTGGACATTTAGAAGATGTGAAAGCTTTGAATATCAAAATTATTATAGCAACTGTAAAATTCACTTTTTTAAAATATATTTTTAATTTATAAAATGTATTCTAATGACAAAACTTTGAGAAATTATGACAAAAAACTTCTTTATTGGAGCTCATTTATGTTGAATAAAAGTTTTTCTACTTGTTAATATTTTTGAGCAACAAACTTATAGTCAGCAAGTCAACATATATACAACATTTGTATATCTGCTGCTGATGACTTGTGTATCTCCTAATGATGAGCTTGGTTACCTGAAAATACTAGAGAAACTATTATTCAATGCAAGTGAGCTTTAATAAAGTAGATTTTTATTATATATTTTTAAAATATTAAAGTTTTCTCTATTTGAGAAATATATGATATAATTAATTTTTTTAATTATAGCCTAATCTATTTGAATTTTTAATGTCATGATGTTTATTATTGAAGTGAAGTTCTTTATCAAATTTCTAAAATTAATTTTATTTAAATAAATATTATATATTAATATTTTTTGCAATCTAAATATAATTAAAAATACTTGTACATTATTTCTTTATAGCTAAAAATTATCTATCATTTATTTAATTTTATATCTTTGTATTTTAATTGATGAAAAATAAAATATAAAATAGACAAATACATAACATTTTCTTGTACATTTTTTAAAAGTTTTCTTTACCTGTATATCTACATACCATTACTTACTAAGCATTACCTGTGAATCCTTATAAAGATAGAATTGAACCAACAAACTGCTGATATTTAATATAATTAGATCAATTGCAAATAGGATTCAATGTAGAATATATGACTCTTACTTTGCAATAATTAAAGATATTCTGTTGTATTCTGTAAGACTTCTTTGAAAGTATTGTATTACAATTTTTAACAGACCATTTCTTTTTCTTTCTGTCTGCCATATAGGATATTTCCAAAATATTATCGGTAGGAAAAACTTTTTAATATTATTTTTATTATATTTTTCTACTTTCTGATAAATTTTAAAATTAATAATTTACATTCTCATAATATATTATTTAAAATATATTAAAGTTATACAGCAAATTTTTTCCAAAAATAAAAAGAAGTATCTAATTCATCGAAAAAGAATTAAAATGATAGTAAATTATATGTATAAATTATTAAGAGCATAGACACTATATTAAGAGTATTTAGTAATCAGAAGTGTTAAGTTCTGATTAATAAATAATCTTAATAAACAAAACAATTTAATAAATAGATTAAGGAAGAAAACTATATGATAAAAGGATTAAATTAAAATACTTTTTCCATTACACAGCGGACTTTTTAGCTCCAATACACAATTAATTTTTCAACTAATTCTCTCCACAAATTGAATTGTCTTTTTCTTGTAAATTAATTGTCAAATTTTCCACTGTTCATTTTCTTATTATTTTCTATATATGTTACTAATACTTCTTTTTGTTTTTCGTTTCTTTTTTTAAAATAAAACATTGGAGGTTTCCATTTTGCTATAAGACAAAATTTTTAACTATAACATGTGTAAACTAATTCACGTTGATTTGTTTACAACTTGTTACAGTAAAGTTGATTGGTCGAATCATTATTGTCACAAACCCAGATGCATTGTAAATAATCCCATTATGCATTCACTTGTTCACTTTGTAGTGTCAAAATCTATATTTTTACAAATCTACCTAGAAACTGAAGAATTTAATTTTCAAAAAATATCAAAAATATTTCCACAATACTTTACACTATCTATGTAGACATTATTTAATGTAATAAGTTCACTGACATATTATATTCAAAATTGGATAAGTTTATGTATAATATAAATGATTTAGATTAATTTATTTTAAATATGTTTGAAAGACATACCTATAAGATCTTGGCTATAAAAAAAAAGTGTAGTTTAATATTGATATAACTGTTAAATATTAAATTAAATATAAAATTTTTAAATAAAATTAATTTTAATAAAATAAATATGCTTGGAGTAACTATATATATAGTATAATTAAACAATGAATAATAAATACAATTTCTCACAATTTCTTAAAATAATTAAAAAATCTGCTTTATTGAAGCTCACTTAAATTGAGTAACAATGATTTTAATACTTTCAGAACAGATTTAGATGATAACTATATGAAAGCCAGATTTCTGCAACTAGATTAAAAAGACAAACTTAAAAATGATTAATGCTACTACTATCCAACTTTCACTCTGCCTTGTTCTATCCCAAAAAAACAAAATTGAATTTTTTAGTTAATAACAACATTCTGGTTAATATTTTATCATTTTGAAATTAAAATCTCAAATTTTCAAATTGACTATAAATATTTGCAAATTTTAGTCTAATTTAGAATTTAAAGTATTTAATGACAAATCATAGCCTCCTATGGGAAAAGATATGGATTGATATATAAGGATAGGAATATTAAAAATAATGATGATACCACCAAAAATCCAGCAAAAGAAAATATTTAATCAACAAACAAATTTTTTCAACTGTTTTTAACAGCCATCTTCAGGTTACCTATATTCTAATATCAAACATAAAATGTCTGGGCAAAAATTCACTACTGCCATTATTAAACACAGGCATTGAAAAATGAAAATAAAGGACAAATTGCATCCTTTCTCATTTTAATAAAGGACAAGGACAGTTTAGCTAAAATAAAGGATTGTCCTTAGAAATAAGATCATCTGGCAACTTTACTTAACTATCAAATCTAGTTCATTTTTGTATCTCTTGACAATGGGCTTGGTTGCCTGAAAGTATTAGAGAAATTGTTACTTAATACAAGTGAACTCCAATAAAACAGATTTCTACTNGATAGTTACTTCTTAAAATAAATAAATTAATCATTAAAAATTTTAGGGAAAAATTATTTTTAGATTCTAATGTCAAAAATAAACATCTTATGTAAAAATATATTAACTTACTTTAATAAAGCAAGCAATACTCCTTTATTATGGTTTAGAGTTTAATCACTGTTTACCAGTGTTAAAGGTGTATTACTTGCTTTATTAAGTTAACTGCAGTTGCTAGTCTAACTTTAGCATGTTTAAATTTTAACTCTTTTATTTCATAAAATAAATTGGACTTATTTAATATTAAATTATTTTTTAATTAATTAAAATTTATTATATTTATAAGAGTATATTTATAAGAGTAATTATAATAGTCAATATTAATATGTATTATCTTATTTAAAATTAATACAAAATATTAGGTAATTTCAGTTTTTTCCTAAACTCATTAAAGTGTAATTTTGAAAATATTTGTTTTCTTTTGAAATATTCAGTTAATACTGATAATTATTTAACAATTCCATTTTTTCCTATTCTATTTCATCTTTCAATATTCTTGTAATGTCTCTTGTTATTGCTTATACTGTATATTTATATTAATAAACAAATGATACCAACAGATATTATCTGGCAGTTTCATTTTGTTCAATTAATTTTGTCAGATTTTGTTCAATTGATTCTATAATGCTTAAATAAACTTTCATAATTTTAGTGATAGTGTTTGAGACTGCCAGATAATATCCTTTGGTATCATTTGTTTATTAATATAAATCCTTTATTTTTTATATTCCGGGCACTCTTTTTATGTTTACTTTATTATCTTTCTCATTAGTTAATAGTTTAAAGACTGTCATGCACTATGTACAGACAACTTTGCATTTTAAGTTCATAGCTGTTCTTGTGTAGAGTTATGGAGCTTGGGTTTGTAATCTAATAGAATATAGGCTTGTTTAGAATCTTTTTTATGGTCTGGTTGCTGCAGCATTTTTCCTTCTAAATTCAGAAACGAGACTAGTCTTGTATTCATGTTTTACAGTGATGTTTCAACCAATTTCATTTATCTGTCCTTTCAGTTGAGAGCAGTGTGTGTATGCTGTATGCTCTATGTATGAGTGCATTGAAGGCCAGTCAATTGAATTGAAATTATACTTTTGACTGGTTGGAAAATTTCAGCAGTCAAAAGCATAATTTTTAATTTCCAAACATTAAATGAGCAAGAAAGTCAGTTAGAAATAATTTAACTGTCAATAATGGAATCAAACTGAATGAATTTTATTTGTAATTTTACTCAAAAGCTTGAAAAAGTCAGAAAATGATGATAATTGAGGAAAATAGAGAAAATGGGAAAGTGTGTGCTAGAAAAGGGTAGAAAATGGGGATTAAAAATTTGATTTAAATGGAATGGGAGATCATTTACTGATGGTTGGTTATGGTTTCCCAAAAATAAGACCTGCATTAAAAGTAGTGTACCACAGATTCCTAAGCTTAATGATTATATTCTCCTGAAATTGATAGACAGTAATCCATATTTGATCACCAGAGAATTAGCACAACAACTTGAGTGTTCCCATACACTCCAAAAATTGACAAAGTCTAATACCACCATGATAATGTATTAGCACACAGAGCAAAGATGACTTAAGAGATGCTGGCCAATCTGAGCTGGGAGGTTCTATTTCATCCACTTTACAGCCCAAAATGATGCCAACTGACTACCATCTGTTTTGTGCCCTGCAGAACTATATTGTTAATATACAGTTCAATGACAATACTCATGAAGAACAATGCTTGAAACATTCTTCAGAGAAAAATCCCAGTCATTCTATGCTCATGGGATTGAAAGTTTGCGGCAAATGTGTTGAGATGTGATTGATATTGATGGTGGTTACATACAAGACTGATCTGTAATTAATTGTTGTTGAGTTAATTATATATATATATTAGTTTTTATAATTTTTAATTATTAACCAAATTGCTATATTTTTGTATTATAATTGAACTATTTCTTTGGATAATAGGTGAAGAGATTAAAGATTCAAAAGATGCTGACTCATTTGTTTCTTCAGATGACACAGAATATAAAAATTTACTTCTATTTGAAAAAATAAATAATACTGTTATACAATGGGGTCCAAAAAGATTGGTAGAAATTTGGAGAGAATCAGATTCAGGTATTGGAATAAGCATTGTGAAAGGTGTAAAACAGAATGATGACAATTCTGATACAGCTAATTCAGGAATTTTTATTAAAAATGTCCTTGATGACAGTCCTGCTGGTCAGACTGGTGCTATTCGAAAAGGAGATAAAATATTGGAGGTAAGTTTGGAGTTATATATAAGAAAAATAAAAATCAATAGTACTATATTTTTGTGCAAATTATCTGTAGGTTAAACACAATTTGAAAGTGATGGGGCATGTTATATACAACTTTGTACCTATCAATGGCATTCTACAATTTTGAGAATAAGGGAATAGTCAGATACAAGAAGACCAAGGCTTGTCCTCCATATTGTTTTCAGAGAATGTTATTCAATTATCTTAGAATTACTATAGTTACCTAATTTTACCTAATTGAACTAATGTGATATGTGTGTGTTTATTTTTATTTAAAGTAACAAAGCTGATTGTTTGGTATCAAGGGATTGTAAGCATCTCCCTGGATATGCTCTGGCATTCATGGAGCAGCTGTTGCTCCATAGGTGCAAGGTGTAAGGTGGAACATGTTACTAAAAGATTTTATTTTTGTTCTAGCAATTTTCTGTGAATATGCATTCAAAAATATGGTAGTGGTTTTTAATTTTTTTAATCATAAATTTCTAAATTTTTTCATCCTAATCATCATTTCTATTATCAGAGTTCAGCAAATTCTAACTGTTAAAGTATTTGGATCAGAAATTCCAGTTTCAAAATTATTTATTGAAATTTACTAATATTTATATCTAATATACAATAATATAAATTTAATTATGAAGTATTAAACTTTTAAAAAACTTATATATTTTACAAATAAATCTGTAATCAAATATAAAAGTAAAGTAAAAGCTTCTTTCATTTAATTCTTTTAAATTAGATCATCAGATAATATTTAAACAATTAAAACTATTTAAATGTAAATCATGATTTTAAAACTATTCATCAGATGAAACTTAAATTTAACATCATAAAGGTAAATAATAACCCATTTATGTTCACTGTCCTGTGTACAGGACATCAATATTTATCACTACAGTAAGACCCCGCTTAACGCTGCCTCGCTTAATGCTGATTCAATATAATGTGGTCTGTTTGATGCCTAAAAAACACTCAAAATTTACACTAATTCAAATTAATGCAGTATTTCATTGATTCGTATATAATACGATTATTCCCAAACACGAACCAATCAGTGAAAGGTGGCAATTCGTCATAGTGCTGTCCTTCCCTTAAATCTATGTTTGTTTTGTGCAATTTTGGAAAAAATATAACATTATGGATGCCATAGGAAATATCAACTTCGCTTAGCAAGAATTAACTGATAAATGCATGAACGGAGTGTGGAAGTAGTTATAGCTGAAGGTATCCAAGAATTCTCATCGAGAATAGCCTATCGCTGTATCGTTAGGTTGACAAAATTGTCAACTTAATCGATACAGGAGATGTAGATGAGCAGGATATTGGGGTTACTGCAGGTTTCTGGTAAGAGCCTTACCAACGATGACCTTCAAGAACTGGCAGAACAAGGAATTCATGTAGAACTGGAAAATAGAGATTCTGAAGATGAAGAACCCAAAAAATTTCTCTACAGTTTTCCTTAGTAAAAGTTTGGTAACAATAACTGAAATCGTTGATCAAATTGTAGTGAATGATCCAGATTTTGATAGGAGTGCCAAAACAAAATGAGGCGTTTTGGATGCAATCTTCTGCTACTGACATTTGCTTAAGGAAAGAAAAAGAACGTGACCAATGAAACTACATGACTTTATTGCAAAAAACAAGAATTTCAGAAGAGGTAGGACTTCGTCACAAAAAATTAACTTTACATTTCTGTGCCCATATTTTTATGTGCTGTATAATATATATTATTATGCAAAAAATTTATATAAAAATAACTTAAGATTATAGTAAAATGTGCTTATTTTTTGGTTGCATCCCTATTTACTCTATGTTAAAATAGTCTTGTTTAATGCTGTTTCGCTTAGCGCTTTGTCATCTAGGAACGCATCCCATGCGTTAAGCGGTGTCTTACTGTACTTTGTATTTTTTTTTATTTATTTAGGGAAAGTATGTGTTGAGACCTGTTTAGAATTAAAGTATAGACTTCCTTGAATATACATGATAAGTCATTGAAATTTTGACTTTGAAGAGAGTGGCTGTTTGTATTTTTAATTTAAGTGTTATAATGAATTTGGAGGGGATTAAGTTCTAAGCACTTGAGGGCCATTTACCATATTTTGATTAAGAGACTAAAATTTTTAATTATGCCACCAATTGGTTATTTATATTACTTGAATTTATTTAGTGGGCTAGTTTGGCTTTATTACTACTATAATACACCTTAAATGCCTTATAATTATATAGTAAATTTTTTTTTATTTTTGATTCTTTCTGCCTTGTGGATTCTAAGAGTGCCTGTTTTTTATACCCATCTTGGGTTTGGCCAGGTCAGTGCTGTCTTATTGATTAGGTACTTTAGTCACAGTGCCTAGAGCCTATGAAAAATTAAGGGCCTATAAAATTAAAAATTGAGAAAATACAAGTTATGGGAATGAAAATAAAACATTAAATTTTTGCTCAGTCAATTTATTTTATGTAGACTTTCCTACACCTTTTGCATGCAAAATCTTTAATAATTTCCTCATCTGGCAACTATTTTAATATTTCGCTTTCTATAGAAAGTACAGATAAATATGATAATTTTGTTTGAGACAAATTAGATTTTAAATGATTTTTAATGCAATTTAATGCTGAAAAAGATAATTTTCCTTCAGAAATTGATCCTAAGATTGACATGTACAATACATTCTAAGAGCAATATTTATATTAGGGAAGCTGGATACTAAATTCTGTTCCTTTTTGCAGCAAAAATAATTCTTGTACTGTTTTGCAATCTGGAAATAATTTAAAAAGATATAAAAAAAAAAAATAATAATTATATTTAAAAAATTAAAAAGTGTCTAGGGCCTACAAAAAGCTTAATGTGACTCTGAGCCAGATGGAGATAACCAGGTAATGATGGACAGGACCTGACATATTTAGGACAGATTATCCATGCAAAACTCCTGGAATTGCTTGCCTGGATTCAATTCTTGTATCAGTGATAGGCTGATGCCTTTACTGCCTTGGTCATCTAGCCAGCCTATTAAATTATTGTAAATATATCTTGATTAGATGAATCTACTCCTGAACAGTTATTTAACTATGGTAAATTTGTTTTAAATGAATTGAAAATTATTATTATTATTTTTTTATCTTTTTACTTACATCAGCATTAATAAATTAAAATTTTAAAACATATTTAAAAGAATTAAATGCAGTAATACTGATTTGAAAAACAAAATTATAATTACTAATAAATTTCAAATCATTTTCATCATTTTTAATCTCCTAAGACTTTAAATGATAGTATTTTTGTTTTATTTTAAACTAATTTTATACATTTGTTACAAATATGTGAATACACTACACCCTCGATGTTCATGGACATCAGTGTTTAGGAATTTGATCATTTGTGATAGGAAATTTATGCACCAAAATTTCAACTTTTATGACATGTTTTGGTTTTTTGGGAAATGGGAGATTATGTACTACTGTAAATTGGAGTTGGCACCTGTGTGAGCTGGATGTTTGAGCAGGCACAATGCTAAAAGATCACTGCACTTACTCATTCATATGGTATCTGTCATGTTACTGTTTTGTTTATTTTTTCTTTTGGCTTAAATACAATGACTTTTGCAGCAATATAAACCATCGCAAAGTATATTTATTTAATAAAACCATTTTTCTGAAAATTTTTTAAAAGAAGTAATGTAAAGTTTTGGAATAAATTACAAATTTAACATTGAAAATGGAACTTGGTGTTTGAGAATTTGATGTTCATGAATGATTACTCACTTCCAATTATTCACAAACATGGGGATTAGTGTATTGTTGTTTAAATACTATGTAAAATTCAATTTTATATGTTATTTTATTTACTTAGATTATTATAATTTTTTTAGGTAGATGATATTGACATAACCAATATGGAGTATGAAAAAGTTATAGACTTAATTAGAAACAGTAGTAATCCTGTAAAATTTCTTTTACAAAGTCTTGTTGAAATGGTAAGTTTCGAAATATATTCCAATATTCTTTTAATATTAGCTATTCATTGTACTATGTTATTATCATCCTTGTCCTTTCAAATGTGAATTTAGAGTTTCAGTTGTCATTTGACTTACTGTATATCAAATCAACAAATAAACAATTTTTGAATTTTTAATCTGTTTTCTCATGATGCAAAGTAATTAAAGTAATTATAAATGCAAATAAATCAAATTACTCAAGAGTCTACTTGTAATGATTTCACAATATTTTTTAAATTATTAATAGATGGATTATGTTATAATTTACATTCAAATAGAAATTTGAATATAAATTATAACATAATCCATTCCAATTTGAAAATCCTTGTGACAGAATCATACTTGTTTTCTAATCATGCTAATTCAGAAAGTATTAATGATTTTTTTGAATAAGTGATAAAGGCTAACCAAACATGTGGTAGCAGTGAAAATAAGAGCAACAAGAACTGAAGGAAACTAGAAGACATTAAAGCAAAATTAACTAATATCAACATACTTCAATGAATAATACAATATAGTTTTCATAGATGAAACTTAATATAATCATATATTTTATTTAAAATAATTTTATTACTTAGAAAATTTTTAAATAAGATATTTAAAATTATCATTTACATTGATTGATGATGATAATTATAATAGAAGACTAAAATTGCATGTTTTAAAAATGTTAAACTTTGAATAACTTTTATAATTATGTAGTTTGCTTTATTCAGACACAATAATGTGACACCTTTCAAACACTTGGCAGATTACTCATCTCTTTCTTTAGTTGGGACGCTAGTTACAAGTCGCATTTCGGACATTAGCCCTCTTCAGCCAACTAAATATTAAAATCAAACATGAGAAAATTTTACATGTACATATGTGAATTAAAAATTCTGTAAATATAACATATTTAAAAAATTACTTTAAAAGTATAGATTACAACATACAGACTGCATACACAATGGACTGTATTAGATTCCATAGATCGAGTGAAGAAAGAACAGATTGACAAGTCTCGAACTTTGACAACAGGACTTACAAAATTTGCGAACTTTGGCTTTATATAAATAATATTCAAATAAATAAATCGAATTTATAGACAATTTATAACAGTATCTATTTTACCTGTAATTTATATTCTGACTCATCACCCAAATTCACACAATAACTGTTTTAGCCTTTACAAACAAATCTCGCTCATATCTATCTCAGCGACACAATCTTGTTTGCTAATTTGCATATATATCACAGTAAACTACTTTGGAACAATTTTGGTATTCAATAAAAAGTTGTGTACAAACTCAAAAAATTATTAATATATTAATATTAGCTTATAATACTTTGAATTTTTACAATTATTATTTAAATTTACATGAACTTTGAACACTGATGATTATCACCACAACTATATCTAATAATATCTAACATAGTTATAATATTTTTATCCAGTTTTCACTAATTTTGATACTTAAATTTTTATTTATACAATTCTTATTTTTATTTTTAATAATCTTAACACTCTCTTTAAATTTTCTGTGATATGTCTTCTTTTCCTTATGTAGAATCTGTATATTAGATTTATCAATGTTGCAATCATTTAGTACACAATGATCGTGGAATATTGAATTTAATTGGTGATACTTCAAATCAGACATATGTTCTTTAACCCATATTTTTAGCTTGCGTTTCATCTTTCCTATATAAAAACTGCTGTTTTTACATATACATGGTATTTTATACACACTATTTTTCGTGTCTTCTTTATTTATTTTTTGTTTTTTTATACTTTGTTTAGCTTTCAATCTGGAGAATAAGTTTTCATATTTTGGAGTGAGTTTTATGTTATTTTTCTTCATCTCAGTATCTATTTGTTCATACATATGCTTTATGTATGGAAAACCGAAATATTTTATTTTTACTTTTGTTTTTTCATCTTTTATTTTGGTAGTATTATCTATTCTTTGTTGCCATTTGTTAATTAATCTAATTGGATACCCATCTAAATTAAATTTTTTCTTTAAATCATTTATATGTTTATTTTTATTAATTTCTTTACCAGTTCCATTTTGTATTTTTTTATACTCCATATGAAAAACATTCTTTTTTATATACAAAGGTATATTAGAGTTATATGTTTATTTTTATTAATTTCTTTACCAGTTCCATTTTGTATTTTTTTATACTCCATATGAAAAACATTCTTTTTTATATACAAAGGTATATTAGAGTTATATCTTATTGTAGTTTCAATTGAACATGGTTTTCTGAAAGGTTCAAATTCTAACTCTTTCTCTTTTCTTGTGATTATGACATCTAGATACTGTATACTATTGTCAACTGTATTTTCTTCTTCAATTGTAAATTGGATTTTTCTATTTATATTGTTTATTATTCTTTCTATTTCCTTAATTTTAACTTCTGCCTCATTGTATATAATTAAAACATCATCAACATATGTTTTGTAATATTTTATACCTGGTATATTTTTAATTTTTTTATCTATATCAATCATTATTATTTCTGCAAGCTTTGGTCCAATGACCGATCCCATACTAATTCCATCCTCCTGTGTATAATATTTTCTTTCTATCTCAAAATAATTACTCTTATAAGTAAATTTCAATAATTCTATAATGTCAAGTTCTACATTTATATTAATATTTTTGAGTTGGTTCTTGATTAATTCCCATTTTATTGATGGGTACATATCAGTCACATCTAGACTGGCTATTTTTGATGTATTTTCTATTAATTTATTAATAGAAAATTAATTTAATTTATAAATTACATAATTTATTCAATTACGTAATTATTTTTCTTGTTACTTTTAGTAATGTTGTTTTTTGCCAAAATGTAATATAATTACAACACAAGTATGCAGTTGAATCTAGTGTTTTCTGTACTGTACCTGATACCATATTGTTTGCAAGCTGGGAAAGCACATGGAAAGTTAGTAATTCAAACACAAATAATTATCGTATTTATTTTCAGGCACTTGGCAATTCTTATCATCAAGTTTTATTCAGTTGATGATTGGACCCTGGTGTCTGTAAATTGGGACACATGCTTCCCCCTTTGTCATCGAGTTGCCCTTTTCTTAATTTCTAAGAGAGCTCTAAGGTTTCATTTTATTTTTAAACTAGCAGACCCTGCCACGCGTTGTTGTGGGTCAAAATGTATCTATTATAAATGTATAATTTCCCCCATGGGGGAAATTTTTCGAAAAATTTCTTCTTAGTGTGCATTCTCTTGATGTACCCTATTAAAACGCAATCAAAAACACAAAAACCTGCATCTAAAATAGTATAATAGAAGCCAAGTTCTTCACAGTAAGCCTTAATCCTAACCATCTCCCTTCAGTGGGGGGAATTTCGACATGTATATTATATGAAAACATTTGCGTATTCGAATGCAGTGTTGTGTCAAAATTTCAAAGGAATCGGTAGGAACAAACGAACATTACATTTTTATTTATATAGATAGATAGAAGATGATCTGCTTTAGTTCATTTTCACAGAAAAGCATAATGCCTCACAGAAAAGCAAACTTAGGGTGTCGTACACGTAGCACCATCTGTTGGACATAAAAGCATTAATCTAGATTATATATTTTAATTTATATGAATGTTTAACGAAATAATATACAGTCTATGTCCACCCTGAGGTTCCATTCTAAATATTGGTGAAAGAATTTTTGAAATCGGATGAGTAGTTTCGGAGATTACCTGCTGCAAACAAACTTACATACATACTTACAAACATTACCTCTTTATAATATTAGTATAGATTAGTTACTCATTTTTATCACAGAAAACTTTTTTATTGGGTGACAAAATTTAAAATAAAAACATTTGTTATTAACTAAAAATTGTTCTAGTGGGTCGTGATTTTATTCAGTCAAGTATGGACGTATGAGGCTTTGGACAGATCTAAACCCTCACTGAAATTTGCATTAGAATAATTTTTTTAATGAAAAAAAGAAATAGAAGCTAGAAATAATTTTTTTGTATGAAAACGTGACACAAATTTATAAATAATAGAAGAATAGAAGTCCTAAGATTGACCATCTTTGGTTGGGGGATCAAATTAAACATTGATTTTGACTTCTCCTGATCTAAGCTGATATCTTGTTACACTTAGTAATGAGTGATCAACCTCTTGGAAAGTGAGAAAGGAAAAGCGATCAATCAGAATGGGCAATTGAGAAATTAATAAAAACCCGGAAATTCAAAGATGTAATGGCTTATTTTCCCAAAAGTTCCAAGTGTCAGACTGATTGTTGTGTGTGTATCTCATGCCCAACTTCATCTCCATCTGTCATCCTTGGATCAACTTCTTCCCATCACCAGAAGTCAACTGAATTGTCCCAGAGATGTCTAGGAAACTGTCATTTGTGAATCAGGGACACTCCATTTGGGATTATCTTGGAAAGGAGAGGAAGACCCAGAGGCCATTGCTGACTTACAACTTCAAAGATCGTGAAAATCTTGTAAGCTTCTTTTGTGTCAAATAAACAGTTTCTTGTGACCATATAGTCTGTCTCAGTGACCGCTCACTCACTTACCCTCTTAGCAACCCCTCAACTCTCTTGACATTCCCTCCAGCAATCTTACAGAGGTACCACTGTTTTTGATTAACATGATTTTGATGTATGAGCATCAAGGAATATATAATATATATATAAGAGCATTGTATGTACATTATCAAGAAGATACCTGTATTTATATGGGTATTTTCTTACATAATGTACGTACGATGCCCTTTTTTATAGCTTGTGCCACCTTTGTTTATAATCTCTGGGCACTGCTGATTGGATCTGTAATATCTATGTAGCTCTGCTAATTCCTTACTTGCTCTCTGCTGTGTCTGAATTAGTCAAATATCTGACCCAAGGCCAAAGTAATAAAGGAAAGTATTAGGAAGAGATGACAAATGATTGGAGAAAAACAGGAAAAAAGTAACATATGGAACAAATGGCAATACATAAAATTGACACAGCAGAACAAAACAAATTTATTTACTTTATGTATATTTGAGAAAATATTTTTCATGATTGATTAGAACTACTTTGCAGTTTTACATGTAACTCCCATATAACACGGCACTTCTATAGCACAGATTCACTCTAACACGGTTTGAGAATTGGTACCATCCCCCGTATAACATGGTACTTTTATAGCATGGATTCACTCTGATACGGTTCGTGAATTGGGTAAAACCCTCGTACAACAGGAAATGTAATAAATTTTTACATACTTAAGTAATAATAGTTCACGAAAATTATTATTTTCGTGAACTATTAGTACTTAAGTATGTAAATTTTCTCTTCTCGCCTTCTGTCGATACACGTGGTCCTTCTCGAAACTTGTTTCAATGTTGCCAGATCGCGACGCTTCTGCTTCTGATGTTGCCGAATGTTTTTCCCTTATTCCATACTTGCTTTATTCTTCATAAGTGCTTAGCACCATATAAGGAAATTTATAAAGACCTTTTAACTAGAAGCAAGCAATCTAAAATTACATACATTTTGCAAAAGGTAAAGCATGGATCTGAAGATAATGCAGAAAAATGCTCAGAGGATAAGGATAACTTGCCAAAAAGAAAACGCTCTCGGTTAATTAATAGTGTTTTTAGTGATGACGAAGAAAACATTGTTTAATTTATATTAATATGTATCACTTAAGAAAATTTTAATGAAGATATTTATCTTAATTATGAAAATATACTAGCATGTTTTTTAATTTTTGGAACCTAACCCTCCTTTTCGTATTAGCTGTTTGTTTCGTATAACACGGATTGGTATAACATGGCAATTTTTTGGAATGTAACTACCGTGTTATACGGGGATTACCTGTATATCTATTCTTAATTAATGAATTACTTCCATATTTAAGAATAAGAAATATTAAATTGTAATAACTTTTTAAATCTTTTAAATAGCATTAAAACAATTCTTTAATTAACATTTTGATTTTTAAAAATTAAAATTTGTGAAATTCAAATTTAGGAAACAATAAAAAAAAGTCCTGAACTTTATATTGAAGAAGAAAAAGAAGCATCACCAATTAATGAACCATTCATTGAATCATATTCAGTTATTCCAAATCCAGAGTTTTTGGCACCTAGACGACTGAGTGATAGAATAGAGATTTTAAGTACTTCAATTGAGGAATCAGAAGAAGAAGAAGAAGTGGAAGATGAGATAGATGACAGACAGATCCAAGGAAAAATATATAGCAAAGAAGGATTGGAGGTATGGTGATTCAAAATATGTTAACAAAATATATTTTAGACGCTAATCATTAATTTTTAAAATAATGTATTACTGAAATATACAAATAAATTTAATTTTAAGATTTTATATGCAATAGCTGATGGTAATATAGGTAATTGGAGCTGTAGCCCAGATCCCACAGCTTTTGAGGCCCTGTGTCAAAAAATTACTATTTAAAAAGTTGTATATTTAAAGTAAAAAAAACACAGCTTAAACCTTAGTAAATCCAGAACTAAAATTTAATTTAATATTGAAAATGTTCTGGCTGATGTTTTCAGTCAATACTGATCACCAGGTTGTTAATGTTCAATAAATAGAATGTGTCAAAGAACATGCTACAAAATTTAAAACTAACATATATCATTATATAATTGACAAAATACCATTAAAAAGTTTTTTTTTAACTTAGAGGCATTTTATTGACAATATAACATAGGTAAAATGAAGAAATTAGTAATTAAAACACATGTTTAAAATAGACGAACTGCTTAGAATAAAATTAACAGCATTGGATGATGCTTATTGTAAACATTGTTGCCAGGTATACAAAAGATTCTTTATCTCTTTGTAATTTATGTACTGGTACCTGCCCTTGCTTTCAGCTTTGTAAATCACCAATATTCTGAGTCAGTACACTGGGATTTTATGATTAGGGCGGCATTCTTCACTTTTACCCAGTATGTTGTTCTCAGATGTACATACAGACAGGGCAATGGTGAGTTTACTATGTTTTTTAAATCAGATCGATGTTCTAATAGCCTCTTACATAATTAACATTTGGTGAAACCAATGTACTCCAGTTCTGTACTTAATATATTAGAGAGGTTGCAGCTGACGTTTTCATTGCGAAAACGTGTATGTTGGACATTCAGTGCCTTCTTCCTGTAAGCCTAGAAGTTTGACAATGGCATTTGATACGTCGAGCATGATTCCACTGATGTTCCAAACGCTGTTGTCAAACTTCTAGGCTTACAGGAAGGCGGTTCTGAATGTTCGATGTACACATTTTCACAATGAAAACGTCGGCCGCAACCTCTCTATTATTCCTCAATGGAGTTCTGTATACCCAAGGTTCTTTTTGTTAATTGGCCATGTCATTTCCATTGTATAGCATTTTGTGAGAAACCGTGGGCCAAGGGTTAATCCCTTCTGACCACTTACTCGGCAACAGTCTGCAAGGACTGCTCACGTTGTTGTTCCGGATGGATTCTTAGCGAGTGGGGGGAGGGAAGCGAGCAAGCCAGCAGGTGTCCTTAGAAGAATGATAGACAGGTTTAACAAAATAACAAAGCATTTATTGGTTAACTAAATCTAGATTACACGAGGAGATAATAATGCTAAGGTTAAATGCAGTTATGCTGTACTATTTACACAAAATGAGCAACTAATCTCAAAACTATGTCACTTGCCTAACTCTAGGTCGAGAGAGAGAGAGAGAGATTTTACAAGTTCTAACTATCCCCTAAATAGAGAGGTTGCAGCCAAAGTTTTCAATGCGAAAACATGTACGTTGGACATTCAGTGCCACCTTCCTATAAGCCTAGAAGTTTGACGATCGTGTTTGAAATGTCAGTGGAATCATGCTTGACATTTCAAATTCAATTGTCAAACTTCTAGACTTATAGGAAGGCAGCACTGAACATTTGACGTACATGTTTTCACATTGAAAACTTCGGCCGCAACCTCTCTAATACCTCTTGGTGTAACGGAGAGTTGATATGGCAAACGTCATCTGTATGGAAGAGGTAGGAGTCCTCGGTATCTTCCAACTGGTGTCTTCTCCCTTTAGCTGGATCAGGTCGGGAGTCGAGGTGGCACTATCACCAATTATAACTTCCTATGACGAATCGCCCTGAGCTTCTGAGGGCTCGAGCTTTTATTCAATTGTCGTGGGAAAAGAGTCACATGATCATCAAATGTTGACAATAATGGTGCATAGTTGACACGTAGGTGTCAACTTTTCCATCTAATTGTTATCACGAATGGTGACCTCCGATCTAATTCTCACTAGGAGTGTTTTTTCTATCGGAGTTGTTTACATTTTTTTTTCTGACAACTGCATTAAATTTGTGGATTTCACAATTTCATATACACATGATGTGTTCATAAGCCAGTTTTATGGTCCTGTTGGCAGCTATTTCCTTGTATAGGCCATACAGGATATGGTTATATTGTAAAATTACTTGCACTGAGTTGGAGATTTTTGTTTGGCATATGCTGGAGCTCCTCTAAGAAGAAAGGTTTAGTTGAAATTTTTTTGATAACTATGAGCTATTGCAGTGTCTTATAAATGTTTCGACTCTTTCAATGTGTCTTCTATGCTTGCACAGTGGATAAATCCCTTCTACAGTGGAAAAAATCCAAAATAGTAAACAAATAGTATTTGACTATGACTCCAGATTGAATACAACTTACAAGATCATAACCAAACAATTAAATGCCAGTCTAGCCTATAAATGCAACCCAACTGTATACAAACTACTGAACAACAGTAAGGATAAGATCCATACCACTGTATGATAACAGATTTGATAGAGATCTAACATATATAGACTCAACAAACAGATCCTTGATGCAGACTCAAAGAGCACCAATACACTATTAGTAAAAACAAATATAGTACAGCTCTAGCACAATATGCAAGCAAGTAAGGGGTGTCTTCACAATGGACAGAAACAAAGCTTTTAAAATGTGCATTTGATAACCATAAACCAAGAACCATGGGGGTATTTGAAATATTTGCTGAACACTTAAAGGAAGCTGCATTAACAATAAAGAATCTATTTTCATATCCAAGGCATTGCAATCTATATTAGATAACCCCTTAAAAAATACAGCAACCAATAATACAGGCAATAATATAAATTTTAAAAATATATATTATAATTAATACAAAGTATTAAAACAGGCCAGGACAATAATTATGTTTATTTTGATTTCGATGAAACCGTGTTTTAATTTAATTTGCTTTATTCAGACACAATAATGTTACTTCTTTTAAACACTTGTTAGATTATCCATCACTTTATTTAGTTGGTCACGTTATTTTGTCTGAATAAAGCAAATTATATTTATATAAAAAAATATTACAATAATTTGAAGCACTAAATCTTCATTTTTAAGAAACACTTTGCCTATTGTTCTTCTTAATTGTAATATATTTTTAAGAAATAATTTATTATCTAGGAACTATATTTTAAAAGTTTTTACATACTGAGGGGGATGAGAAGCCTCAATGAAAAGGTTGACTCTGCTCCTAGAGACTGTTTGTTCCTGAACATATGAGGATAGAAGGAAAAGATTTTCTTCAAAATATTATAATAATTTTTATATAAAATATAAATTTACATTTTGCCAAATAATTTTAATTTTAATTTTTGCTTATATTATTTATTGGAGTCATTTTAATAATTTTATTCGTAATTATTTATTTAATTTGTTAAAACTTTGTTAATGTATTAATTTGAAAAACAATTATGTCAAAGAAAAATGGCATTATTTTAAACTTTGAACTACTATAGTGACATTTGTTATGGAATCTGCTTAATCTGACTCAGGCCCCTGAATGTGGCTGAAAACATTCATATTTTAAACAGTGAATTCTGGAAATTATGAGAAAGGTATACATTTTCTTGTTTTTTAGATAGTTCCAGCTTTAGGATTTAATAATAAACATCAGTTATTTACTATCATTACTTCTCTTCTGATTGAAAAGTAATCCAGTCTGTTTTTACAGTTGTCAACTTATATTAGAAAGGTTAACAGGTTAACAGTACATAAAATTTAACATAAACAAATTAACGTTGTAACATTTTAATTATTATTTAAAAGTTGCTAAAATATTTTCCATAGTATGGTACTGTATTATTGATTACAATTGATAAAAAATTAATTTTGTTTAATTCTGAAAAAATAAAGATATGATATGTCAAAAATATAACCTTAGTAATATGTCAGAAATATAAACTGTTCGAGAACTTTTGGCTAGATTCACAAAACTTTTAAATATTCAGAGAGTGAAAAGTTCGAAACTTTCAGAGAATAACTAAAGAAATTAACATGTAACTTTGAAAAATAAAAATAGATTAGGAGATTGAGCCTGAGAATTTTTTAACACATTGATTACTGCAAAATTTAGGCCAATATTTTCTAACAAAAAAAGAAATAAAAAAACAAAATAGATGTTCAAAGAAATTTCTGATAAGAAAACAGGTTATGTTCACTCTAAGCTTCAGTAGGAAGTTAATTCAACAATTTTTCTCTATTTTCAATGAAAAAAGTTAATCTTTATTATTCTTTTCTTCATTCAAATCAAAAGATAACCTAAAATTTTTCACGCTGGTAAAATCAGATGTTCCTGAAGTGCCATGTATCTTTGATACAACATACACTATTTTGCCAATGAGAAAAATTATAATATCACCGCGCATCTATGACTCACTGATGGAGCAGGTTGTATTGCACCCTAGTGCGTGTAATGAGGGCAGGATGTAACAGCGGCCATCACTTGAGTTGAGCAAGTTTTGTTGTGGGGCCAGCCTTGTCAGATTTGGCTACTTTTTTCAGTTTAGCTTAAAAGAAAACATATGGCACAGTGGCAAAAAATTGTCCATGTATTATAAACATATGCAAAGAATAAAAAGATAAATTTAACTACAGTAGAGCCTCAATTATCCGACTCAATTGGGGACTGGGGTTGGTCGGATAATTGAAAAGTCGGATAACCGAAAAGTATGAAAAAATCCATTATTAGTGTAGTATATTATTATATCCCATGTAATTAGTATATTAGTATATCGCTATTAACCTACTTCGCGTTGAATTTTCATCAATGTTAAGCCTAACAAAAATTTTTAAAAATAATAATCGTCGCTATTGTATTGTTAAAAATTAGAAAATTAAGCCTCGTTTAAATACTGGCTTACTTTCATGGTCGATCCAGTGTTGCCAGCTAAAACATGTAAAAATAATATTAAAGT